CCCCAAAACCCCAAAACCCCAAAACCCCTATTTCAAAATTTAAATTGATTCACAAATAAATTATTGTTTTCTCCTCGGAGCTCTAGAAGTATCTTTGTAAATTGCTGTCCGCACTCTTGCATAAGGGTCATCCTTTATCTTTTCTTTTGCCTTGGTTTCCTCGATGATGTCTTTCGGTCGTTCCTACTCAGAGTCAGTCAGAAGGACAAAGGTCATCCAAGCCTGAAGCTTACCGAGGGAAGGAGGTTGATCTCTGAATTGAATTTGCTGCTGTTGAAGACGGCCATCATGATTCTATGCATTAGGAAAGCCTTACTTCTTTAAAGTCTGTATTACGTGCAAAGCTGTGATTGCGACCTCAATGTAAATAAACAGACAATAAGCTGTTGGGATATCAGCTGGAATGTATAAAGCATGTAATCCTGTAGGAACAGAGATCATCAACAAGACTCCAATGATTAACATAAATAGAGTAATCCAACCCGATTTCAGTGTTTTCCATGATATCTCTATTCAGAAAAGGGAAATTGTCATCCATGAGAGTCCTCAAAAGAAGGATGTGTAGATTGCTGCAATTAGCCATTTAAAAGTGAACACAATTGTATATGAGTATAAATAAAAATTAAGAATCTTTTGTTTTGGGTAAAAGTAAATTCATGCCATACCCAGGATGAACTGGATTAGCCACATTCCAAATAAAATGTATGAGATTGACTTGAAGAATATCTCTGCAATCACATCTCCAGATGATGAAATGAATGAGTCGTGGGGATAGACATGCAGATCTTTATATTTCTATAATTTTCTCACTCCAACCATACCTTTAACCTATTGTTTTTATTTTTGGAATGTATTGCCAGATTCTAAGTCAGATTTTTTATCTTCCTCTTTTGAATCTAATGATGAGGAACCTTGATATCCTTGGTCGTCTGTAGGTTATGCTTAAGAACATATAATTGGAACTATGAAGATGCAATCAGTTTAAATTTGAGAAGCACAATGTCGTTTATATTTCATTTAATGAAATTATCTTTTCTCATGATTCAAAAATAATGTTATCCTACCTAGATGCAATGGATCACTTTTGAATATGTCAATATCATTCTCAGCCTCATCTTCAAATTTAGAGTAGCCTTTTCTGTTCCTCGTCATCATTTTGTTATATTTTATTAAATTTATGACACAGTGGGGTTTTGGGGTTTTGGGGTTTTGGGGTTTTGGGGTTTTGGGG